ATTGATGGCAATTAAATGATGAAGTCTGTAAAAACGTTTTCGTCTCCTGGTTTAATGGCTTAAATCATATTTCCATTTCAACAAAACCAACCAAGTGTCTAAAAAGCAACCAGAGAAGATTTTTAAATCATCAGAATGGATTTTATCCTAAAAACCAAAATAAAATGGTCTTGCCTTTGTTGCATTATGCCTTTGAATTTGTTGCACAGCGCAATTTTTATCAACGAATCAATTAGAGGAAACTGAATGATAACAATAAAAGAACAACATTAATAGTATTTTTCCTGCAGGTCATCAACACCTTGCATGAATTGCTTTAGCAGCTGTCAGTGACATCACTGCTCGACAGCTCAGGTTCATGGAGCCAGTGAGCGTCCGACTGTGAAGCTGTGGGACACTGTTGAACATTAGCAGGTAGCTAGAGTTTATAATGTCAGGAAAGAAGAGAGACACTGTACTTGGCTGTTTACGCACCAATAACTGATCATTGATTTAACGTTGGATCCGTTATCTGTGCTCGGTGTGGTTTGAGTGCTCTGGTGTGTGTGTGGAGATACTCGTTCTCTTTGGGGCTGCTGCATGAAAAACTAAATTAAATAAACAGCAGAGAACATGAATGATCTTTAATGTATCAATAATTAGGTATTTGTCACATGTTTAAATCCTAATCGTTCCCTGTGTTGACATTGTTTTCTCTCTCATTCAAATCTTGTAACTACATTGATAGTTTTAAATGATAAATGATAAATGGACAGTACTTATATACCTTTTTTTCCGCCTAATCTTACCCAACGACATTTCAGCAGGCAGATCGGAGGAGTTGGGGATCAAACCACTGACCTTCCGATACGTGGATGACCCCCACCGATCAGATTCAGTCTTTAATTGGCAGCAGAGCTCAACTGGAGATTCAATATCTGACATTTTATAACTATTGTAATTATTCTTATTCACTTGGATTGATAGTTTCTGACTCTAAATGTGTTGTTTCTCACATGCTGGTTGTTTTTTTATGAGATGAGAGGAAGATGAACATTCATCATTTAAAAAAAAATAAAAACCAACGATGGAAACTGGAGGAAATCAGACACTTTACAATTCTCCTGAACTGATTTACCTCAGTAATTTTAAAGTTTAATTAAAAGGAACTGCAACCTCCACTGAATGAGGCGCTTCAATGTGAAGACGTGAAGAAAAGTTGAATTTAATGAGTAACTATAATTTAAAGGTTGTCACATTACAGTTTTCACAAACATCTTGTCCTTGATAAATTCAAGCTATGAAGGTTTTAATCTATAAGTAAATTAGAAAATGTAAATGCAGGAGAAATTTTGCTGATCAATGAGAAGAGTGAACCTGTTATTGGAGGTCGGATTGAAGCCTTGATGTGTTGGTACCACTCACAACAGGACTGATCTGCAAGAGAACATATGGCATTACAACTAGAATCCACTGTCTGTAATAAATAAATATATATATATATATATATATATATATATACTGCAGATATTCCTACTTTAATTTATAAAAAGAACAGCAAGTGACAAAATGATAGATACCTTATTAGGATGTTCTGTTTGTTTAATCCAGTCTGAACAGCTTGTATCATCATTCATACTACAAGCTTCCATATTTCAAAAGCTTCGGTAATTCAAGTCCAAAGTGTGTTTGCCCTGAAACTTATTTACGCTCTAGCTGTGCTGTAAAATCCCTGTGATCAGGCTGCAAACACACACAACATTCAAATATACACCAAAGAGCATATACTTCATAATCTGGGGATTTCAAATAAAGGGGAATATTCCATGCACAGCAAATAATATACAGTAGAGTAAGGAACGTATAGCAAAGCAGTGGACCACATGCTGTTATGCCCTGCAGTTATATTTCCCATTAATGCTTCACTGATACCATGTGTAGAACCAGAATCCACAGCTCGATTCAATCACACGAAGATTTTCTGCCCCTTTAACTGGAGCTGATTCAGCACTCAGCAGCAGAGATGTGGGGTCAGTGTGTGCACTGTTAAATAGAACGTGTTGTTTCAACTCAAAAATACCAGTGAACATTACACTGTAATATATTAAAATGACAATTAGTTGATCAGTCACTTTCCTTCACGTCTGTTTTCCTCAAACTAACTTAAACAATGCATGCTGGGAAGTTTCCCAATCTGCTAGTTTTATTTCTTTTTTATTCTTAATATTTTGAGTAGTATTTTTATTAGTAGTTAGAAGTTAAAGTCATTTTTTAATGTATGTATGTAAATATTATTTTGTTCTTATTATTTTTTTTTATATTGTTTAAACATTTTATCATCAAACCTCATTTTATAGGATGAGTTCATTATTTGGAGAGTAGAATTAACCTGAATTACAAAACCTATGCAATTATGTTGGGGCAAAAGAAAAGGTGCATGTTTATTGTGTAAGGTTTAAAGTTACGTTAATTAATATGTTTGAGTTCATATAATAAAAATGTGTTTGCACATTTTTAGATACTTATATTTCATATTTACACCTTCAGAACATAGTGTTGAAATCTGCGTCTGTGCTGCAACAGAGCAACGTAGCATTTCAATTCTTACCCTCCCCTCAAATCGACAACCCCAACCATGCTCCTCCGACGTCAAACAAAGACAAACTGCGACCTGGACACGTTCAAACAAAGAGGATTTGACTTCGACAGCGAATGGAAGACGATGACACCACGTCTACTGGGCATCTGCAACTCTAAACACACAAAGACGAAGGCTTTTACACCTTGAAATCCTTGCGTGTTTTTCTACAGTGTCTGATTGAGTGGCTGCAGTTTCCTATTCTGTGAGGGACCTTTTCTCAAAGCATGATGGGGTTTTCAACTGGAGGCTAAATCAGAGTAGGCAGCATATCAAAAGAAAATGGCCTTCACCAATCGGAGCTTTAGCCTAAAATGGTTTTGATATAGTGAAAAATGTTACAGATTCACAAGGAGATTCATGACTTCTAATAAAGAACTTGATCTTGAATTAAATTGCATGACTCATTCATCCATCTGTTCAGAATGGAGACTGGATTCCCCTCGCATTCAGTCATGGCTTCTAGCTTAAAGCTACACACAAAGATAAAAACCACATGAACCAAGTCAGAACTTTTACACAACATCACAGAAACAACAGACAACAATTAACCAGGACACTTAATATTCCCATGAGCCTTTGCACCCATGCTGCTCATAGCGAACGCCTCACTGACCGCTGCAATACTGATACTAATAATTAAAAGGAATAGACATAAGAACATCTCCTGAAAATCAAACACGCTTCATTTTTGAGGGTTTACATCCACAAAGGAAGAAATCCTACATGTGCTGCACATATTACACCTTCAAATGGAAAAATAAAGGCCAGAGCCTGAGCTGCATTAGTTCAGCTCCATTTGTTCCAATCTGTTCCAGGAACACGTCCTTTAAGTGATATAAAGCAGGGGCCAGGAAATATCAATAAGTAATCACCAAAGCCAAAAATATGACACCAGCAAAAGTCGGCATGAAGGTGACGGCCGTGTTTGATAGTTTGCTCCTGCATCGTCCTACTTCCACTGCAATAATGAGCACAATGAATAAAGGCTAAAGCTTCAAAATAAGAGACGACCCTACACTAGCATAAATGGACATAAATGGGTTGATAAGAACATAAGACAAGAATATGTCTCGAGAGCTATACAGTTTTCTTGTCGTACCTTGGTCAGCGAGCAGCAAGTTTTAAATGCGACAGCAGCCACTTCTAACATTTCCATGAAGTACATCTGTTAAATAGACACTAAGTTAAAAAATAATTAAAAACGGAACTCTGACTTATAATGAGCTTTGTGCACGGAGGAGCTCGTATGAATTTATATGACGCGTGTTTTTAATTCATTTCAACTTGGTAAACAGCCTAAAGGAAATGTACTGATTAATTCTGGATCGATTTAGCTGTCTGTAAATAAGTGAAGTTTATTTAACGTAGTATTATTCTCAGGGTCACAAGCTGCTTCACAAAATAAAATAAAACCAGAGAGTAGCGGGACACAACACATGTATTCAACAAAAAAACAGGAAGACAATAAAAACACATGGATTCTAACACTAGAATGCACAAATCCAACATAAATTCAGTGGGTTTTTTTAAGGCTTGATGAGAAACTGCAGAGTGTAAATCTATAAACAGAGTATTCTATTATGTTGGGGCCACAATTTAGAAAACACAATTCCATTTTATTTGTATAGTGCCACATCACAAAGTACGTATCTCAAGGCACTTCACATAGTGAGGATTCGGACTTGCAGTATTGTTACGATCACTTTTACTTTTTAAACTGGCTCGTGAGCCCAGAGTGGAGGATCTGAGTGAACTACTTGGAGCAGGTCAGCGATGTGAACATGGGCCTGAGCCTGAGGAGCTCTATGTGAAAACAAGCATCTTAAAATTCATTTTGAATTTAAGACAGATTGACACAGCACAGGTCGGCAGATTGACACAGCTGCCTTCCCAGAGTTCCTTTGCTGACCAAAGTCTGTCGTGCTATTGCTTCCAAATCCTGGGAGTATAATTACCAGCTGAGATCAGATATGCTGCATTCAGTATTGATTTAAACACCCTATTAAAAAGGCTTTAATCTCTGTGTGTGAATTCAAATCAGTCATATTTGAAATGTTTCTTGTTTTATTATCTGTGTTTTTATCCTTTGTAAATTTGTTAAGAAAGGTGTGATACAAATACATGGTATTATTGTTAGTGTTATGATTATTATCATCAGATGTGTTTGTCTTAGTCTCTGCGTGCCTGTAGTGCTGCCACCTGCTTTGCTTTTTCCACCTAATCTGCAGATGTGTAAAGATTTGTGAGCCGATAGTGAAGCAGATTGAAGCTGTTGTGTAACTGAGACCCTGTACATCTCTGTCAATTATCAACTCATCAACACGTGGACTTATTTTATCCCCTGCGACGAGCTTCTGTGAATGTCAGTCGGAGCACAGCACCTGTCACTTCAGGAGATGGCAGGGAGAAAAACTGCACTCGCTGTGTGTCTCCTTTTCAGCTCAACCCTTTGTTTGGTGAGAAATTGTGTAATTTGCCGAGTTATTATCATGTGATAACTTGATTTGATTAAAAAATCAATAACATGATTACTTTGCTTCTCTTGTTCAGCCCACAGAAAAAATATCAGGTGAGTGATTTTTTTTTTTTTGCAGCAAGTAAAGCACAGACTTGAGTTCAAGTTTCTTCAACTACTGTTTGGCCTTCACAGATTACGATGTGGACGGTGGACGGGACCTGGACATTTTTGACATAAATGAAGGTTTGCAAATACAAAACTTTTCCTTCTCAGGTCTTCACATCATTGATATTATTATTACTCAGTGACAAATGCAAAACCAGTTCTCTTTGTGTGTGGACTCCACAGAGGCAGGACTGAATCTTGCAGAGGGAGACATTGTCCTCGATGGGGTACGTTGATTTAACCGTTCATAATTTTCCCCCTGCACGATTACATTTTTTTAAAGATTCCTTATGTTGTTGCTTTCTTTGCCTTTATCCACCGCTGCAGAGGCAAACTCGGAACTCTATAATAGGGGATGAGTACAGGTGGCCGAAGACGATCCCGTACTACATGGAGGATGACTTGGGTAAGAGTGACTTGGACTTCATGCACATAAGAGGAATATGGATGGATTTATAGGATATTATCACGTATATGAACCCTGTGGCTCAACACTACAGTCCTCCTGTAAGAGCTGCTTTGATACATGTAGCTCCTTAACATTGTGAACAAACAAAACTGTGAATTTTACAACGTAGCAGCAATAATCATAATTTAATGAAGCCAGTTGTTTTTGATCAAAATCTTATCACCAAATTCATTGTTTTAAATGATAACACATTAAAAACAATATTTTATTTGTTAATATGTTTCAAAAAAGTCCAACTAACATGACGTAACATCACCAAATAAGATAACATACTGTATATTTGCTTTTTGGTGATATATAGTGATGCTTCAATGTTATTTTTCTATTGTCAACCACTCTTTGTTTTTAACATATTCCATATTATTGAGAAAATATTATTTTCTTTTTGATATATTTCCTTTGGTGATTAAGAACAGATTCCCTCGACAACATGGGTCTGTCACACAGCTAAACATCTACAACTAATATCCCAAACAGATTTAAACAAACCCCAATTCCTGAGGACACGGTCTAAGAAAAATTTAAATCCTAACAGACAACATGGAGGGTGGGGTGGGGTCAAAGGCCCATGCTTGCTGCTGAATGGAGAACACAGGCGCTGTAGGGTGACGTCACAGTGTGGCGTCTTGCTGCTGCTTTCTGAAAGCCCATTCTTGATTTGGCTGAACTTGTCACTGTGTCAGTATCAATAGGAACCACTTCACTAACTCATTAACGTTCAATAATTAATTTTAGGATTAGTAAAGTCTCATCTTATCTTATTTTATCTTATACTATATGACATAATTTAGAGGTTTTATGGTCTCAAGGACTGAATGAAGGAGAAAGTGAAAAGGTGACGACAGACATGACAACGTACTGATCATTTTCTAACCTGCTGAAACGAAATCTTTACACAAAATTGCATGAAATCATCTCAGAATCAGAACACGTCCACACCTGAGTGTACAATGTGTGTATGATGTTCATTTACAACTGAGGTGGACATGTGAGTGGAGATAATCTTCAACCTTAACAGGCTTCAATAATTCAACAGATGCCTTTGATAAGTTGACACAAAATCACTTTAAAGAGAATTCAAAAGACTTTTACAGAACTGATTTATCATCTTTTCTGCAGAGATCAATGCGAAAGGTGTGATTCTGAAGGCGTTTGAGCAGTACAGACTCAAGACCTGCATCGACTTCAAGCCCTGGAGCGGGGAATCAAACTACATTTCTATTTTCAAAGGGGGCGGGTAAGGACTTTATGTTCAGTTTATGACAAGACAAGCTGTACTTCATGTTTAAGGCATTATGTGTTTTTTATTTTTATCATTGCAAAAAATGTCGTTCAGAAAAGACAAAATATATAATGTTCTTTAAATCTGTTTGATTCTTTTGTTTTCTCCACCAAAAGATGTTTCTCCTCTGTGGGTAACCGGCACGTTGGCAAGCAGAGGTTGTCCATTGGGAGAAACTGTGACCGCATCGCCACCATCGAACACGAGTTCCTTCATGCGTTGGGTTTCTGGCACGAGCAGTCCAGAGCGGACCGTGACGATTATGTCAGAATCATGTGGGACCGCATCTCAGACGGTATTGAACCAAAGCTAAATATGATCTAAACACTGCCCAGTCATGCTGCTGCATATCACTGATCCCTTTATAACACACCTTCTTCATGACTGCATGTGTATTATTAGGAATAGTCAGACTGAGGAGTGTAAAGCAGCGTTTATATACAGCCAGAAACACAAAATTAGTAAAATCACTTCAGTGTTCCAGAGGTTTCTAATGCAGACCTTGAAGGGAAGCACTTTTTGCAACAGCTGATTTGATGATGTGTGATAAAGAACATGAGTTGTTTTTCTGAGATAAGCAATGTATCTCATCTGATTTGACCTCTGTTGATGATAAGTCCAATTTATTATAGGCTGCCATTAAAGTATTGGGTACATTGATATGTCAGCGAGTTTTAGTCAAGGCTTCAAACACGTGTCAGTCGTTGAACAGCAACTTTTATTAGACTAATTAATTAATTAATTAATTAATCTCTTGAAATACGAACCTTGTATTTGGAGAATGGAGTAAGACGAGTACCACTGTTTGATCTACAGGCAGAGAAAACAACTTCAACACCTACAACGACACCACCTCCAGCTCGCTGGGCGTTCCCTACGACTATGGCTCCATGATGCACTACAGCAAAAACGCCTTCCGAAACGGCACCGAGCCCACCATCGTCACCAAGATCCTCGATTTCAGCGATGTCATCGGCCAACGCATGGAGTTCAGTGACAGCGACCTGCTCAAGCTGCACCGCCTCTACAACTGCAGTAAGAGACCACGGCTAATAACTACAAAATATTTAATTGTCTTTAATTATAAAAGTATCAACTTGCTCCAACACTGCTGAATTATTGATTCTGATTATGTTGATGTCAGCTGCCAACATGGTGGCTTATCTCCTCCATTTATCCCTCATTACTGTGTTGTTGATAAGTTTATAGCTGTTCAAAGTCCCTCTCCCGTGTGTGTGTGTGTGTGTGTGTGTGT